TTCCATCCCTCAAAAAATGGCACCAGACACAGTCCACTCCCAGTACAGAGACCTCCAGGGTGGTAGGAGTTGAACTAATCATTGCTAATAAGCACAAGAATACAAAGAAAACATAATGTAAGAGTGTCTGAGTCAGTATTTATCCCGTATGACGCCTCCTCAGACTTGCTCAGTGCTGCTTGACTGACACTTTGATGACACTGTTCGATGAAACATCTTCTAGAATTTTAACAAGCTTTATCCTACTAATGTGGGACACATGCTGTTGGTGTGTTAACTGTGTTCTAGTCGCTAAGGCTGCAGCCTCACTGATCCATCACAAAATGGAAAAAATATGGAGAATCTGGCAGCCTCTGGTTTTTCTTGCTTTTTTTGTTCACTTGTTACAATTAGAATAAAGAGGCATTTGGGAAGGTTAAACAACTGACTGTATCTAATGACAGGAGTTGAATCCTGAATGCCATGAAAAGAGACTATCAAAGAAAGAAGAAAAGGAATAAACAGTCCCCTTGTCTTCACTTGTGTACTTGATTCAGGCTCAGTTGTGGCTGTAATGCAAAACTCAGGCCAGCATGGGCTGTATGAGTCATTTCCACCACTAGTGGCATTTAGCAGTCATTACTATACTGCTGCACACTCACAGGCAGAGAGGCAGGAGGAGAGAGAGACGGATGGAAGTGCAACGAGCAGGAAAGCGTGAGAATGAGTAAAAGCCAGAGAGGGCTGCAGTTATGAAAAATATAAAGGAGAGCTGTTGCTCCTGTTGACCCTTGAAATGTCACTCATCGATCAAACCCCCTCTGTTACCACGGAGACACTCACCCATGAACTGGAAGGCTGTTATTACTGGAGCTGAAAGAGAGAAAGAGTGGTGTCAGTCAGGGGGGAAGGAACAGTCGCATACATGCACACAGACGCACAATGTGCACACACGACCACACAGGATGTAAATATAGAGATCAGATTGTCCTTTCTATATCCTTAGGAAGAAGTATACGGATGCATTATTGAGCTAAGTTGCTAAATCACTTAACCGTCTGAACCCCAAAGCCCACCAGTGGGTTTGAGACACACGCTATATTAAAATATATTGCCAAAATTACAACATTGATCAGAGCATGAAACTGGAAAGTCAACTTTCAGGAGGTCCTTGAACTCATCTTGGGTAACTTTCAGTTTTGTCGAGAGCATTTCCCAAATCTAAGCCATAAATCATGGTATTTCATCAAAAAATTTAAAAGAAATTTTTAAAAATCGAAATGTCTCGTTTCAATAACTGGCAGCAAAAAAAATAATACAAATAAAAAGAATTTGCTCAAACTAAATTCTGTAAAACGCAAAAAAATACTGCACTCCTCATCAGAACTGAGAAGCCAGGATAGTTTTGAAAAACAATCAAAGAAACTATTTCTTTTTTTTTCTTTTTTTTAAAATAAAAATTTACGGCATTATAACTTTTTTTTGACCGCACAGAAGACATTTTCTAGTTTTCCATACTTCTAGCAATAGTTTTGCTGTTTCCATAGAAGTGCAGGATTTTATATTGAAGTGACAAATGAGTTCAGTGAGTAGAAATGTGACAGAAGCAAAAAAATGCCCAGAAACTGGTTGGAGTTCAGAAGGTTAATTCATGCTTCAGAACAATGAATTCATGGAAGAAGAAAAAAAAAACCTGACAGAATTAGTTTTATTAGTCTTTGGAGCCCAAACACAGGCTGTCAAAAACAGCATTGTACACAATAAAACAGATGTATAAAATCTACAATACATGCCAAATGCAAATTTGTCTTTTCACATTGAGTTTGCAATTCCTGCCTTTTACATATGAGCTGTTTAGAAATCACTATTCGGGCCTACATTGATTTTCTAAACCCTTGAGCATTTTGTGCAGGTAAGTGTCCACCTGTACCTGTGCAAGGGACTGTACAGCAACAGCAGCAGGGCGACTCCTGTAGCGGTGGCCAGGACCGAGCGCATCCAAAAACTCAGCTGACAGAAGTTGCAGTACTGGATGATGGCCAGGATGGTGGCACAGCACAGGAACATGGTCACCTGCAGGAGAAAAACATAGTCATTGAAGTGACTTAACAAAGCTACAGGCACAACAATGAACAAGGTTTCAGCTTTAATCAGTGTGGGTTAATTAAAAAAAAAAAAAAAAAACACTAAATCAAAATTTTCTTTGTGTGTCCAACTGTGATATCTGCTTTAAAAAAAGACACTTGATAAGCCTCAATAAATGAACTGTTGACCATCGCAGTTAAGTCATATTAATAAACTTCAGGTGGAACACCAGCATGTTCTGTCTAAAACAATTGCTGGTTGTGTTAGCTTATAGAATTAGTGAACAAATTATTTCTTTTGTGCCAGTGCACGTAACTACAACTAGCAGCAGTCAGCAAACATGTAATCTGTAGGCTCACTGAATAACGTTTAAAAGCTTAAAGGTGGTTTGATCTGAGCGCTACTTGTCAGATCAGATAACATCCCTTTTTATAACACAAGAAACATTTTTCTGTGCATTTCTTCTTCCCTGCTCCTTCACATTCTAACATCACAGTATTAAAACATCCTTTCTATGTTACAGTCAAGTTACATACATCCAAATGTAGTTTTTGATTAGGTTTTGGACCTTAACTGTCCATTCAAGTTTTATTTAAGTTAGGTTCTAATTTCGGGACTAGTTCTGGTTCATTATTCCATTTTTCAACGGTACTTGCAATTTTTGGGTTCACCTTAATGTGAATTTGTTATGAGGTCTGTATGAGTATTTATTGGGAATTGCAAAGAACAAATCGTGAAAGCAGGATTGTACATTCAAGTATGAAAGGGTGCATGTAACAGCAGTTTTAAAGGAGTATGAATTGTGTGGCATTTCAACTTTGAATATTCAGATTTGAGATTCACCAGCTGCAATACTTTTAGAGAAGTGTAAATTATACAGTGGGTTCAACATCAAGACGTTTTTAAGTGTGACTTTTCCATGTGGAGTGAAATAAGGGAACTTTTTCACATCCTCAGGGGACATCATGGTCATATCTCGAGCTAAATACTGTTGATGGCGAATGTATGGTTTAGCAAACACTGAATTAACAAAATGCTAACATTAAAAGACAAGTTTTGTCTTGTTTTTTCTTTGTTTTGTCTTTTTATGGTTTCTTACCAACTGCAACATAAATCAGACATAAGGAAAGGTTTTTCAAGGTCAAAAAAAAAGAGAATTTGGTCTAAAACATGCTGATGTGGTCTCTCAGAAAGACGCGGTGCTCTATTTGTGTAAACACATGCAGGCGGCAGTGGTAATTTGGGAACATTCGCAGGTTGTTAATGATTACACTGACAGGATAACATCTTTTTTTCCTCTCATCCCTACACATGTCCTCCCTCTCTCCCTGCCATCGCCCCCCTCTAGCACTGTTATTGGGTCTTAATATCTTCAAAGGCATTAAAGTCCAGAAAATTGCATGTCTAATTAACAACTCTCCCTGAGACTACCGCTTTGATCTGCAAAGCCCCGAAGAGACGGAGGGAGCCGAGGGAAGAGACAGAGCAGGGTGGGAGAGGATTGGATCGAGAAATCGGGCGTTGAAAAGCGAGATATCAAAACACCGCACATCTTGCAAGCAGCCGTTGGCTCAAAGCTAGAAGGCCAGAGTCAAACTTAGACAGAGCTGGATGTGGCCTTGACTCAGAACAGCGCAAAAAAAAAAAAAAGTGTGGTAGTTCTCAATCTTCTCACATGCAGGACTCGGAGAAGGAGAAATGTCAACATTTCTAGTGCCAAGGTCCACAGGCGAAGTCTCCTGAAGCCTCTTAGCTCTTTTCCCGCCACAGTTCCTATCAGGGCTAATGCCAGCTAATGAATCTCTGGCTTTAGACCACAATGGGCAAGATGTCAAACTTGTCTCTGCTTACATTGGCCTAAAGACATCAGTGAGGGCAAACCATTACAGCTTAAAAATCAGAAGTGCTACCACTAACAAAATTAGCAGTGGTCTTTGTAACAGCAGAGGGGCAGTACTTTGACTGAGAGCAGGAGCAGTAAATCAGCTGCAGTAGTAAGAGTTCAGTACTTTTATATCACGTATGGTTTTTCATTTTTATAGGCGCAGTCTCATAACTTGTCGATCAACCCTGTAATTCCAGGAGCTGTACGATTTCTGTGAAACACATCCTTCTATTGTCACCAACAAGCACCAGTATGGCCTCATGAACTACGTTGGCGGATCCTCGATTGTGGCCAAACTGCTAGTCATGGTCATTTGATCAATGCTGAGATTGTTGGACGGGTATTCATTGATTTCAGGGATAAAATATCTTGACTGCACGTTCACGTTTAAACAAACAGAGTACCGCTTTCACCTCCACATTGGGCAACCGTCCTGCAAATTTACAATTAATCAATTACAATAAGACTTAAAATAATCTAATCATTTTATAGAGGCAAAATCTGAATAAAAATGTACCCAAAACACCTCATTTTCTAAACATCTGCTCACTGAGAGACGAGCTCACTGATGTTCACTAAACGCATCACTCGCAGACTGTCGGGGAAGCTAGCTGGACAGTTCTGCACAGAGAAGCCTCTTGTCTCCGATGAAAAAATTACATAGAAATGAGACAGCACAAGTTGAAACTGAGTGATCTTATCTAAACAGCTCATTCATTATGACTTTAAACATAAAAGTTGCAGTTGCTCGTGTTCGTTTAATTTGCCATAATCGTGATTGTGAATGGTATTTAATCAGTTTTGCAGCCCTGCCAACACTGTGTGGTGAAAATAATTTGAAAATTGTGGCATAATATTCTCCTTTCCAGTCAAAGATCTAGAAAATGTGTAAGAATAAAGACATATTTAGAAAGAGAAGACAGAGAGTTTAAGTTTTAAATTGCAATTAAAGGTGGGACCTGCTTCACCTGCAAATCAACTATTAAATAGCCAGCAACTAGTTTCCTAAATAGTAATGAGAAGCAGTTAAATCTTGATCTGTAGTGCAGCAGGCATAATTGGGTTGCACTTACTAAATCTAGTTTTCGCCACCTTAAGGTAGAGTTCCCATATTTGTTAAATACTTTGAGGTGGTGAATCAGCAAATGTTTTGATCTGGATTTTAATAGTGTGTTAAATGTGAGCTCCAAATCTCAATCTACTCTACACACGTTTACCTGGAGGGGCAGGTGGACGCTGCAAGTGAGGTGGGACAAGACGGAGATGGCAGGAAGAGAGACCAACACGGCTCCGATCACGTGACGAGAGACCCAGCCGGAGACCACCAGGAGCAGCAAGCGAGTGCAGTTCATCACCTCCTCCAAATAGAAGGCCATGCTGCAGGAGAGGACAGGACAAAGCCTTAGGGTAAAAAAAAAAACTAGGAATGTGCCCCAGAAGCATTATCAGAAAATCCTTATTTAACTTGGCTGAATGAGAATCTGAATAAAAACTCTTATTTTCTCTTCCTCCTCCTTCCTCTTTCTACTCAGTCAGAGGTGGAAAAAAAACTGCAGCAGAGTCTCATTACTCCTTAATTAAGACACATTACTAAACCAACAATGCTGTCCAAGTCCCAGCGAGAAGATGAAGATTTATTGCCCATTTATGCAAGGCAATAAGTGAAAATTAATTCATCTTTAAATACTCTCAGCGCACACTCATAAAACACAGCGCAAATTAAATAAAACACGTGTTTAGCACTTTGGGTAACAGGAAAATCCAAGGAGAAGGATGTCTTTCTTTTTTTTTTTTTTTTCAAGGTTTGGATATATACCTGGTACCAGTTAGTCATTGTGCCAGTTTCTGAGCCGGTACAAAAAAATGGGCACGAGCCAATGGGATCTGACCGGGGAAATTAATCCGTAGTGGAGTGAAAGCCAAGAAAAACATAAAATAATGTGTGCTGGTTTCAGTGGAGAGTTGTAGTTGGTCTATGTGTGGTTTTAAATCTTGTGCCACAGAAGCCCATGAGATATATTTTATTCAAACTGACTGCCTAGATGGCACAGAAATGAATGCAACAGCATAACTAGTATTTCAGAGGCTTTTCTATCACAAATAAGATAAATTCTTATTATTTGTTTAACAAAATTATCAAATTTTAAGACAATGCATATGTTGTGTGATAGAAGTGGGATTTTGGTTAAAACTTTTTTTTAATATAAAACAAATGCACACAAAATCACACCTACACACACACACACACAGTCCATCTGCCTAAACCCCCTCACCGTATGGAGAGCACCAGGGAGGCCAGCTCCAGCAGACCAGCCAGGGGAGCCAGAGCCAGCGCAGCGGGAGCCGGAGAGCCCACGGTGGCCGGGCTCACCAGAGGTGGAAGGAAGCAGGCCAGTGTCAGCGCCAGGAAGACAAAGCAGCTGAGGAGAACATCCAGGAAGGAGCTGAAGGTGGAGCTCGCAAATGTCTTTAACTGAACCTGGTTCCTTACCTGCAGGGGCAGAGTAATGTGAAACTGAGAGGAAGTAAAGGCTCATTCCCTCCCCCAAAAAACACACCTGCACCGTCCACCACAAAGACGTAAATGTTTAACCATCATGTTTCTCTAAAGGGAATAAAAGCTCCTCAGTTATTTCATTATAAGGAGAGTTTATCTGTGAAATGCTGACTATTATAAAAACACACTTTTGTGAACGGCATGCATGCAGTAGTGTGTATCCAGAGAGTATTCTTTCATGTCTGTCTTCATTGTCTTCATCGGTGCTTTTACAACAAGCTACGACTCTGATGTCTGAGTGTATCAAACGTGATCTTAAAATGAAGCATTTCATCTTTGTTTGCGAAAAACTAAATCAACATTTTCATCCTCAAAATGAGGTTTGCGTTCCCAAGAAGGATAAGAACCACTGACATAGTGTGACAATAATGGGAGGAGGAGGAAATCGCAGTTAAAATCCGTTCACTGTAAGCTCCTTACCAGTGTTATTTTGTGTGATCGTTTGTGAAAATATAAAGGATTATTTCAGGAAATGGACTCAACCTCAACGGTGACCAGATTTGTTTTGCTTGTCTCAATGTACAGTAAAAAAGCAAACAAACTGCAGCCTGTGCTGTTTGTATGATAAATGTTGTATGAATGTTTTATTAATACATAAATATTCACAGCTTAGGGAACAAAAGTTAGAACCACATACAAACTTGTTGCAATGATTTTGCTTGAAATGAAGGTTTAGTGTTTTTTCTTTTTTCTTTTTAGCTCTGTAGTAACACTGGTTTAACAGCAGGGGTCTACAAGACTCTGAGGTCAATGCAGGCCAACTGGAACAGGTCCTGAATGTGTGTGGCACCAAATTTCAGAAACCAGGGGAGTACACAAAGAGATATAAACACTGTCCAAAATTAAAGAGATGCATTACAACACTACTGTTTGTCATCCCCCTCTCTGGTACATTTTTTACGATTTAGTTTCAGATCGTTTTTCCCATCCATTGTGCCACACATATCCATACAGGGACAAAAAGAAGTTAAAAAAAGAAAAAAGAAATGAAGAAATAGAAACAAAAAGTTACATTTCACCAGTCTTATCTTTCACCAGGAACTATCTTCAGATTAGGATAAAGTAAAAGGCAAAGATTGCAATCAAAGTCACAGGTAGGTTAATGAAACAAGTCAACACAGAGCTATTATCAGTATATCAATACAGAAGATAGAAAGTGTTTGTGTACCTCCTCCTTGTAGCTGCTACGATAGGCCTTCTCCAATGGTCTCTCTAGGAAGTTAAGGCTGATCTTGTTAATGGGTGGCTTGAAAAAATAGTCCTTCATCAGACTGGGGAGCAGACAGAGACAAGACACAATGAGTTTTAAAAAAAAAAATTTGAGTGAAAATGGCTTTTATTTTGTTAATTAAGTATTTAACACAAGGATAAATATTTTTTTTTTTTAAAAGCAACAAAGTCAAGGCCAGAGAAAAACTATGAGTCCAGCAACCTTTTCTAAATTATATAGTCTGAGAATGAGTGTAAAAAATGATATTTTTAAGAGCATCCAGAAGGTTTTCTGGGTGGAGTTTGCATATTTGTCTCCGTGTTCCTGACTGTTTATGCTTCTCATTAAACACATATTGACTAATGGTATGTATAATTCCTGTCATGTACTAGTGCGTGGATGTGCTCCAGCCCTGCAATCATGGACACAATGTGTAGTTTAGAAAAATTACTTAATGGATAGACACACCCTGAGTACAAAAGTTTACTCATAAAATGGATTATGCAGAAATTCCAAAAACATAAACCTAATGGATCCTTGTGTCACTGATCACGCTGCCACCCAGTCATGCTCGATCAGCCACCCTTGAGCGACATTATCAGCTCATAAATTCCACCTTTCACCTCTTTGCTCACCTGTCCTCCCTGATAACATCCACAAAGTGGGCGTCGCTCTTCTGTCTGAAATTCTTGGCACGCAGCTGGATCAGGGCGGAGTGATCCATGCCCGTACCTGTCGCCCCCGGGCCTCCGGCCATGCCTAGACTGGTGCCAGTTCCCGTGCTGGTGCTGGTCTTCTTCTCTTTATCCTGGAGCATGTCACACAGTGAACTCTGGCTGGCCCGGACTGGGTCCTCCAGCGGTGGACTCAGGAGGCCGTTGGCTGCTCTGGGGCTGTGACCCGGGATGAACTGGAGGAGGAGGAGATAAGGAGGTGAAGAAGAACACCCAGACACAGAGAGACAAAGGCCGCGACTCTTTAAGTAGCTTAAGTGACAAATGCTTAAAGCGGCGCTCGAGAAGTGTGCCGGTGCTGTCATCGTCCATGCATGTGCACTGTACCTTGGCACTGCTGGTCTTGTGCTCGTCTTGGCAGCCGTTCAGCACGGCCACATCATCACTCTGCTCTGCCACCGGAGACAAGACCACACTTTGGAAGACGCAGGGAGGCTGCAGGGAGAACAGGAGAGCAGTGGGAGGGAAGTTGACAAATGAAATCATATCACAAACATCACATCAGATAGAATCGATTGAGCCAAATACTTGTGTGCTGACGGTTTAGTTAAGTCAAAGGACAAGCTGTAGACAAATACTGGTTCTCATTACCTTCCTTATAATTAAGAAAGAGAAATTAATATCAACACATATGGAGCCAAAATAAATGGAGTGAGAGCATTGCAAAAAACTCACAGAAAATCGAACTTGAAAAAAACACCAGAACAGCTGGATAACAGGTTTTATGAACTATTGACTTCAGCTTGCAGGGACTAGAGAGCAAAATGTAGTAATTTAGTGAGTCATTTATTACACGACACAAGGAGTATGAATGCTAGGTTGAGTTCCACAGATGTATGTCAATAGTGTGAAGTAATGCAGCAATGTTCATCGAGTTTTTTTATAGCCCTGCTCTTACCCCACTCCTGTCTGGTGGTTGATGTGACAGCAGGGGCTCAGCAGCCTGCGCCCCTCCAGGGATGAGGTCCGGTGTGCGAGGCTGAGGGCAGGAGAACTGGCTGACCCCGACGAAATCCCCACCAGGAAGTCCCACCTGAGAACAGCCACACTGCACGTCGTGATCCAGCTTCCTCCCTGAGATCAGGTAGGTCTTCAGTCCTAAGAGAAAGCAAAAAACAAACAAGTTCCTCTGTTAAGAACTTTGTAATCATGATGGGTTTGACTTGACAGGGGAAAAAAACAACAGCAGGATAAAACAGAGAATACAGTGTTTGTTTGTTGTCATCTACAGACACCACAATGGTGATAATTAATGGTGAGACATTCATAAAAATGCATCAGACAACAAAAACATACGAGGCTGGATGAACCACCACAAAGCAATGAGCAATTTGTTTATACAAAACATTATCATATTACTTGTAATGACCAGCATCAGATGCCTCCTGAAGCTCAAAAGAAAGCTCGATTTCTCCCCTGAACTGCTTGTGCGTCATGTCACTGTTAATGCTGAACAGGCTGCGGCGAACAGAGCAGCTGCAGGCAGCGTTTTTGGCCGTTCTGTATGCATGGTGTGCCATCTGCAGATCTCTGACAGAATTTTATCAGTCGCAGGTGTACAAAACAGATAAAACAAAGTCTGTATAAACTGCAGCATCACTGATGGACATGTTAAATGTAAACCACTACATTGCTGCTCTTATCTGGTTTGGCAGTGTTTTATTCAGACAGTTGAGTCTGCAGCTGATTTGTCACTAAACTGAGTTAACACTTAAAGTACAGGTGAATGTGTAGTTTTTCTTCATTTTTACAAAACATGCCGTTAATACTGATTAAAGTGCCAGATGTGTGAGCTTTAATACAAAATGAAAATGAAACTGGACGCTGACCATTAGCCTTTGGTGGCATTACGTGAATTTATTCCACCTGTGGATGTAATGTCTGGGTGCACACATGCCCTCATCTACCCATCATCACCGTGCTTTGTTGATGCGCACACACACAAGCAGGAAGTAATGCAATACTGGGTGTTTCACCAACTATGTTTGCACATCAGCCCAGGGCTCTGGCCTATTCACACTGGGTGTAGAGCCAACAAGGAAATACACAAACAGTGGATTAGAGCGGTGGCCCATAGCCAGCTGCTATCAGCCTGTCCAAACACACAGTAACCTGGCTAACTGGCCTCATTGTTCAAACAGCTAACGATGCTAACCTCGTTAGCACGGAGATGACTGGAGGAGCAAGTGCAGGCCGATGAAGAGATTTGTGGGCTCCCTGCCTCTAGCTAAGGTACATTTGCGTTTATGATGTGCACAGTTTATTCATAAAGAATAACTTTAGGCCAGTTTTTAACTTGTGTGTTTTTGTATTAGTCCTACTGCAGTGTGTTTCTGCATCAGTGAGCTTTCAGGTATGTGAGATTCCTGAAAAGTAGACTGTATTGATGCATGCTGAACTCAGCTGAGTCAGATTTTTTCAAAGATTTTGGTCATGTTTTACCTTAAATATCACTTTAAAACAAGTAGAGATAACAGTATATTTAAGCTTTACTTAGTTATTTGCAGTCACAACTGGCCTTTATTAAAAAGCAACTTCAATGTAGTTCTATTTTATGAATTACAGTGTGCATACAAACAACCTACTCTGGAGATGTTCGTCTATTTGGTCTAGAAAAGATCTAGAGTGAATGAAGTCAGTGGCCTGGAAAAAAACTTAATGCACTGATGTTGAAAAGAATCTGAAACTAAGCAAAACTCTTTGGAACAATCCTTCAAAAAGCCTCACAGTGACATCTAACCTTTAAACTCTCTGTGTTCCTTTTGAACTGACTACTTTCATTAAACTTGTCTGCACTTTAATTTACTTAATTTGAATTCATTTTTTTCTATTTTATTGTGTGCTTTATCTTGACATGTTTGGATTTTTCTTATACTTTGTCTTTTTGTGCTGGTTTTGTCGGTTGTAATTTAGCTGTTTAGTTGGCTGTAAATTGTTTAATAATCTCTGTGTATGATAAGTTGCTATATAAATAAACCTGCTTGCTCAACGTATGATGAGAAGAACTGATTAACAGCTACGCTACAGCAAAGAGTTACATCGCCGACACACACCATAATGTGCTATTAATTGTTCTCCATATGGGACAGTTGAAGAGAAAAGTATGAAATGTTCTCAAGACGAGGGAGGATCCATTTAGTGAAACAGCCCCATGACCTGACTGCACGTCAAGTCAACTGACATGTATTTTTTATTTAGCAGAAAGAAAGAAAAAAGCAAAGATATGCATTTATGTGTCCGCCTGTTTAAGTGTGACTGATGAGCGTCCGACCTTTATGTGCGTCAGTCTGATGCTGAGTGGGTGTGTTCATAAGTTGGTTTGTGTACTACAAAATATTTGCAACATTTTTTGTGAATCAAACACACACACACACACATCTATCTCATTCAGTCCTCCTCCTCCTCTTCCGCGGTGAGTTACTCCTTTTTTCTTCTTCTCGCTCCAGTTTTCGCACTTGCAGTGAGTCGGTGAAACACTAATCCAATGTGATAATGAGTAACTACTTTACTGTAACACTGGATACCAAACAGACAGCTGTAGTGGTACAACCGCTACAACCTCCAAGGTTTTCATTTCAAGCAACGCCGTGCAGCTTTTCTAACCGGCTGTTCACAACCACAGTCGAAAGGGAACTTTTGAAACTTTTAAGATCTAATGACATAAAATAACAACCTGCTTTAAAAACATCAAAACTAAAGTCATTTCTATGGTTTGGTTGGTTTCACTACAACTTTTGTTGTTTTTGCTGCTTCCTTGGCTGCATAAATAAGATTAGTTATGAACTCATCTTGGAACTCTGGAGCCACTGTGCATTTAGTTTTAGGCCCTGGAACAGCAAAGACTTCTCAGCCTTTAGGCCAACAACAGTCCTAACTTGGGGTTAAGAGTCACACACAAACATGCAAAGTGTCAAGAAAAGGTTTGCTGCTGTTCCTGTGCCACCGATTCGCTCCCAGGCAGTGGATGTGAACAAGGAGCTTCTGCAATAAGATGAATACATGGCTGTGAATGGCCTATTTTGTGCCTTGACTTTCTCTTTCTGTGTATTTTTGCCGTGATTTTCAGTCGCACACAAATTATGTGAATGAATCGGAGTCACCACATCTTTCAGGAGATTCATCATAAAAGGTGTTCTGGAGGCTGTTGGCCCAAAACTTTCATATCATACTTTCAGTTTTCATGGATGAAAAGCAAAGAAGTTCCTCGAGATACAGCTCGTCTCATCTTCTGTAGATGCTGACTCAAAAAAACTGCAAACAGCTGGTAGAGAAACCCGACAGTAAATTTGATCTCATGAGAAGTAAGCAAGAAGCAATGTGAGCTAAAAGAGCTTATTTTAACAATCCACAGGCATTTTTGAACGCAGGCATTTTGGCTCGTCGTAGTAGGAAGGGTGCAGGCGTTAATAACACTAATAATGTCTCTGTTCTATTCTGGTGTCCCAGTAAGCCACGACAATGTGACAGTGAGCCAGTATGTGCCTTACCGACACCCTGACGAAGCTTCTTCTATTCAGTCTTTGTATACATGATAAATAGTTTTATTTCTGGTTTGCAGTTGACTGAGATCGGCGGCTGAAGAATCTCAAAATCTCAAATAATAGGAACTAGAATAGTGTAGCGAGAAATGTACATGGATATTGGCTTGAGAGTGTTTTTTGTGACCTGCCCTCTTCCTCCAGCATGCCTTCTCCATAACAGGCAAAATGCTGACAAGTTAGAGACACAGACAAGATAGTAAAAACAGACAGTGGCAAACGGCACAGAAATGGTAAGAGGGGGGGAAGGAGGAAGAGTCCCAGAGCACTTTGAAGGCCACTGAGTTTAGCATGCCTCACATAACCCGCATTCCTCGTCTACTTCCATTTCAGCTTTCCAACTTTATCAACAACCTGCTCTAAACTCTAAAACACACCTTGAATTGTGAGGAGAGCTTGACATAACAGACGGTGGAAAGTTGCAGTTTTCCGACGGTCAGAAAGTAAGCGCGGCAAGTTCAGGTGTGTACGAGTGCAAAGGCATCTACTACCCTCTGGCTACAGCGCATTACCTCACGTACAGTATCTCGTGTGTGTTTGTCCAAGTTCTACAGCATAACCAAGCTAATCCGTTTGTGTGAGTGTGTGTGTGTGTTTTTTGTGTGTATTGATCTTCACCGGGCTCTGTAGAGGCAGCACTCTGGGAAAGAAACTGACACCAGCACTCTAAAGTCTCAATGCAGCTCAGTGGGCTTTATTGATTTATTCAGGCCAGCTGGCTGGAGTAGATAGGGTTCAGCCGGGGACAGCTACTAGTACTACTACACCGCACACAACGACACCAAAACACCATATGTACACACATTTAACCATATACACGATGGCAGACTGACAAACCTGACCGACCTAAACTACATGTCATGTTACGGCAGGAGCTCAACATGTAAATGGCTGCATCATCTTGAAGTTTGTTCTTGTTAGTCATGCTCACTATTTAATCCTCTGAACCCCACGCAGCACATTTTTACTCACTGTGGGCTCATTTTTAATGAAGCAATATAAAGTCTTGCACCTCTGTGGAAACAGCACAACCATGGCTAGACACAAGGTAAGCATAAAATAGATATAATGCTACAAATAATCTAAAAAATGATGATTCATTTACAAACATCTAGATAAACTGGAAATCAACAGCTCTTGTTTTTCATGAAGAGGGAGGTCAAAACAATGAACATTTCTACCTCACTGAATGGACACTGGTAATAATGTACTCCTCACATGTGCAATGAGTGAATGTAAAGGACAATTTGATGTTCCATCAGAAACCAAAAGGAGTGTATTAACAGCTGTTCTTGGAGGAAGCAGCTTCAGTTAAAAAATACAAATAAATATAGAATTTTTTACACAAAGTTTATTATATTTTGTAAATTGTACACAAAACACTTTCTGACTCTGATTTTTTTTTTAAAGAAAAAAAAAGAAAAGGAAAAAAAGAATCCTTCTAAATGCATCAGAAGGTGTTGGAGTTCAGAGGGGATCATTTTTTTCAATTTCCACTGATTTTCATAAGAGATGTTTTACTCTCTTTACATGCATTGCTGCAACAGAAAATGCAATCTG